GAGACTCCTTAGAAAAGTTGGACTGGAAATCCCATTTAAACCAGCTATTCCTCTACTGGGAATTTTCCCGGAGGATCTGAAAACATCATATCATAGTGATATATGTGTGCCTATGTTTATAGCAGCACAATGTGTGATAGCCAAATCTTGGAAACAACCAAGATGCCCGTCACCTGAGGAATGGTTGGAAAAGATGTGGTATTTTTGCACAATGGAGTATTATTCAATTAAGAATGATAAACTCAAAGCCTTTATATTGAAGTGGATGCCACTTGAACATATACTCATAAGTGAAATAAACCAGACACACATGTGTAAGTATTGTATAGTCTCCCTAGTATAAGAACTCAAAAGAAGAAATACAAATAGAAAGGTATGATGCAAGTGAGGGGAAAGTGGGATCTCGAGGACTGACTAATCAGGAGAGGGAATGGTGAAGAGCTGGGAAACATGAATAAGTCAGGCCATACAGTTATATGTAGAGGATGGGCAAGGCAATGATCCTGAGAATCTTCAGAGGAGTTTTTAATCTAGCAGTTAATTGGAGAGATTCTCACCCTGACTGACTATATATGCTGATGCCTGTGAACTAAGAAACTGCACTGCAGATGGTAATTTGTAATAGTAGTTGTACGCTTGGAGTGCCTGTCATTCTGGTGTTCTGAATATGGGCTGCGTGTCATGACATACCAGTTGCTACTATGATGTCTCTCGGGTGGATGGTTGTTCAAGAAGGGGGTGGTGAACGAAATCAAGAGATGGGAGGGGGAATGTTGTGGTACTGTCCTGCTTCAGGGTTGTATATGGTGAGATTTTTGGACTTATGTGTAAACTTAAGAAGTGTGTAATTTTTTAAAAAATTTATTTGTGTGTGTGTACGCCCGCACGTGTGTGGCCAGCTCAGCCCACCAGGGGGCAGGGCTGGCTGGCATGTGGTGCTGGGGGATTGAACCGCGGTCCCTGTACTTTGCTAAGCTTGTTCAAAGTAGGTACTTTAGACCACTGAGCCATCTCACCAGCCCCAGAAGTATGTAATTCTTTATGCCTATTTTTAGAATGTATTCTAATTTTTAAATGTTTTTTGTCATGTTCTGTGGGGACTTGAAGTTCAGCATATCAATACTTGATGGAGAATACCTGTTCCATGTTGTGCCTGGGATGTTTGATGTGCAGACAGATAGTGAGGTTGAGCTTAACAGCCTAAGTTGTATGGTAATAGCTGTAGGCTTGTCTTCTGGATGGTTAACAACCTAAGTTTGCAGACCAAGATTGGATAAAAAGGAAGGCTGCAGGGAAGGCCAACATTTTGGCCCTGGCCTTCTAGGGTCGGTTGAGACTCGGGATATGTGGGAACTTGTGCTGTGGTGTCTTGTGACTTGGTAGTGTCCCATGTTTTCTGATCGGGGAGATTGTGGGGCCAAGGAGGGGGGTGATCGATGATGTGGAGTGCGTCGGGGAAGAGTCACGTGGAGAGCACGTTGGCCGGGAGGTGGCTGTGGCTGGTCCACATGGCTGACACTGACAAAGGTTCTACAGTCTGAGGTGCAGGATCTCGGGATGGATCCTGAGGGGATTTCGCTGACCTTGTCAGACCCAAGGGCTGCAACTCTTGTTGTATAGGTCCTGCTTTGCCTTGGTCTTAACCATCCAGCAGAAAAGTATAAAAACGAAGTATAAAAAGTGAAGCCATGCTGTTATGTTGAGCTGTGGGGGACTCGGGTCAACAATTTCTGACATTGCCAGTCAAGCGGAGGACCCAATACTATTATGGGCTACTGGACTCTTTTGGAATATTTTGCTGAGTTTACACACCTATAATATTCAAATAACGGATCTTAGCAAAAAAAAGGGGATGCAGATGAATGTCCATTTTGTGTCTGTGTATTCAATGTGGTTAGGATGGATATATAGTTGCATTCTCTTGGTGAACAGAGTGATTTGTTCAAATGGTGTTTGTGGATGGGATGTCATGTCCGCATCTTGTGCAGCAATTGACCACTGGGAGGAATGTGTGCAGTGTGTTGATTGTTGAGACTGTCCTGCCAATTTGATTGGAAGCTATCTCATTGCTGTTTGTTTATCAATAAAATTATGGGGGGGGGAGAAAAAAAATAACATTAAGGAAGTGTTAAAATTTGTATAACAGATATTGCCAATTTTGGCTCAGATACCTGTTCACAGAAAAGTGTGATGGGGGGCTGGTGAGATGGCTCAGTGGTCTAAAGCACCTACTCAGAGCAAGCTTAGCAAAGCACAGGGACCACGGTTCGATCCCCCAGCACCACATGCCAGCCTGCCCTGCCCCCTGGTGGGCTGAGGAGGTGGGCTGGGGAGGGATAAAGGGCTAGTGAGTCTCTAAGGATAATGAAATAATAACTGAAACGGTTTTCCCATCATTCTTTGTTCGGAGCATTCTCTGTACCCTTTAAGATATCCATCTTTTTCTTTTCAAACCTCAGTCTTTCACTTGAAAGATTTTATTGTATGAAAAGTTCCACAGGCCAATAAATTTAGAGGAAAATGAGTGTTTGGCCCAACAGAGGAAAAAAAAAAAATCAAGATTTTAGGGCTTTTAGTTTTTCCTTTGTAGTTGTGTAAAAAAATGGAAAAAAAAAAACATAAAATGGAAAAAACATAAAAGTGGAAACACTTTTTGCTATAATCATTCGTTTTAGAGGCATTGTTAGTTCAGTGTGTACAGAGTCCATTTCCCACATCTTTCCTCAGGTATCTTCTATTTTATCATGAGTTACCTTTTAGTCAACTGTAGGTTATTTAAAATAAATTCCTACAACTTTTCTGGAAAAAAAAAGATATTGCCAAATATACAGGTGAACTATACTCATAAAATGGTTACATTTCCAATTAATAAGGTCCAAACTGCATAAAAAATTCAATCTCTGATCCAAAGTACTCAAATGTATAAAAGAAAATCAAAAGTGTTTATAGGTGGTAGAAAGTCTTTAGGTCGAAGAAATGGAGAGCAACATCTTTATTAGGGAAATAAGGATATTACAAGATATTTCACTTTTATGAGACTGTTGTATTTTAATGTAGTATTTTTGTTCATGGTAGTTTTATTGTTGTCAGCTGGTACAGATACTGATACTGTAGAACACATTTAAAGTTAGTGCATTTTAGGGCTCAGCCAAATAACTTAGAGGATTAAAGTGCCTGCTTAGGCTGACGCAGGGGGCCTGCTTTGCTGCCCCTGCTATTGGGTCACGCTGAAATGGCAGTTGAGACTGGGCATGGTGGCACGTGCACTTGGGAGGCTGAAAACAGGAAGATCACCACGAGTCTGATCTACTCAGTGAGATCCTGTAGACCCTGTCCTAAAATAAAAGAAAAGAAAAGAAAAAGAAAGTTATGGGGCTGGTGAGATGGCTCAGTGGTCTGAAGCACCTACTTACAACAAGCTAAGCAAAGCACAGGGACTGCGGTTCAATCCCCCAGCACCACATGCCAGCCAGCCCCGCCCCCTGGTGGGCTGAGCTGGACACACACATAAAAAAAAAAAAAAAAAAAGAAAGTTAATGCATTTTAAAAAGGGGAGCTGGGGATATAGCTCAACAGCATAAGCACCTGCCTAGCAAGTGCATGGTCCAGAGTTTGATCTCCGGTACTGCAAAAATAAATGAATAAGTAAATAAATAAAAATAAGAATCACAAACTTAAGTTAGTTCATTTTATTGACTTATTTTATTATTTTTCTAAATAATCCTTCATTTAAAGAGAATTCCTATAGCAAGAAGAGTCAGCACACATCATTCAGAAATAAGGAGATAGAATACATGAGAGAGCAATTATGAGATAGGAGAGTCCAATTTGAATGATCAGATCTATTTGGAATTCTAGAGAATAGAGAAAATGGGAGAGACAACATTGAAATAATTATAGAATTTTCCAGAATATATAAACACCATGAATCTTAAGATTTAGAAAATCAAAGGCCAGGGATGTAGCTCAGTTGACACAGCACCTGCCTGACAAGCATGAGACCCTGAGTTTGATTCCCCGTACCAAAAAAAAAAAAAAAGATTTAGAAAGTCAAATGAATATCAAAAAGATAAATCCAAATTTATAGATATCAAAGTACAACTGCAGGGGGCCAGTCAGCTAGCTCAGCGGATTAAAGCACCTGCTTAGGCAGGCATAGGGACTGGGGTTCGGTCCCCTGTGTACTGTGCCAGCCCCACCCCAAGGCACATTGAGACAGGGCATGGTGGCGCATGCCTGTAATCCCAGCACTTGGGAGGCTGAAAACAGGAGGATCACCACGAGTCCAATCTGTGTAGTGAGACCTGTAGACCCTGTACTAAATACATAATAAAGTAAAACTGCAAAACTCTAAAGACAGAATATCAGTTAGAAGAGGTAGTAAAGAAATTATCCAAAGTAACAAACAGATTTAGTTATTAATAAAGAAGCCAGAACTCAGTGAAATACCAATATTCACAAAGAACTAATGATCAACCCTAAGTTGTATGTTCAGTTAAACCTCTATTCAAAAAGAATAAAATACAAAATTTCAAAAAAATAAAAGGTAATAAAAGTTTTCTTCAGTACAGTTTTACTTTTAAAAATTCTGGGGCAGGGAATATAGCTCAGTGGCATAAGTACCTGCCTGACAAGCATAAGGTTCTGAGTTTGATCCCTGGTATTACAAAAAGGGGGGAAAAAAATCAGGATACTTCAGAAAATAAAGGCTTGTCTTAAAAGTCAAAGATGAAAGAAGGAATAGTGAGCCAAAAAAATTGAGGTATGTGTATAAATCTAAATATACACTGTTAATCCTAGCACTCAGGAGGCTGAGGTAGAAGGATCACCAAAAGTTCAAGGCCATCCTACCCTACATGGTGAGATCCTTCTTTAAATAAATAAACATTGCTGTATATTCTGCTGTGAAGGGAAAAATAATTTTGCCTCTAATGAATCACTATTTATGATTATTGATAAATAATAATTACTAGGTTCTGTTGATTTTATTTCTTCTGTAGGTGTACAGAAGATGGGTGTCCCCACAAGAAATTCTTTCACACACGTTTTCTCATGAGAATGAGATTAACACCAGACTGTTCCAAAATGTTGATCTCAACGTCCTCTGGATATCTCCTGATTTTGCATGATCTTGACTTAACCAAATCTTTAGAAGTAGGCAGCTATCCCATTTTGAGAGCAAGAAGAACTACATCAAGTTCAGGTAAGCCTTTCTTTTTTGATTAGAAAACAAACTTTCTAAAAAATTAGAGACATTGAGGATGGAATGTACTGCTATTCCAAAAATGGTAGCAGGAAAAAAAGATTGAAAATTAAAAGGCATTCCTTTTTTTTCTTTATTTCTGTTTGCAGTACTGAGAACCAAACCTAAGGGCCACAGTATGTCACCAACCCTTTTTATTTTGAAACAGGTTCTCACTAAGTTGCCCAGACTGGCCTTGAATTTGTGAGTCTCCTGCCTCAGCTTCCTGACTAAGATTGCAGATGTGTACAGTGTGCGTTACTAAAAGGCATTCATTAGAAAACTCACGGAAAGCTTTTTCTGGAAGTATAATGATCCAGATGTATCTGTGGCATGGTATGTGTTTGTGCTTCTATAGCACAAATGTCCTAGGAAAAATAACTGCTCTTAAAATTCTTATAGTTTTGGGCTGGGGACATAGTTCAGCAGTCTTAAGTGCCTACCTGGTAACCACAAGGACCTGGGTTTGGTCCCCGGTGCTGCATGCTTTGCTGGCCCCGGAACCCCGGGTGTACCATGCAGTCTGAGCTGCATAGTGAGACCCTGTACCAAATAAATAAAAGATAAATTTTTTTTTAATTTTAGTTTTTGCTTGCTGAAGAATCTTTCATCACTACTTCTGAATCATTGTTTTCTCAAAAATTAGTGATAGTTCAAGGTAGTATTTGTTTTCTGAAGTACTGCTGGAACCCAGCAGAACTTTTGAATTAAAGTAATTACAGAGTTTTCATGAGAAGTCTATATGACATACCTACTTCCAGATGACCAGCTACAGGTATATAGTGCCATCTTATCTTGTAATGCCCTCTTGCCGGTTCCCTGTCCCTTCTGTTGCTGATTGTGTTAGTCTTAAGTGAAGTTGGAGCTCAGAAAAATTCAAGTAATGTATTTTATTAACATTATGTGATTTAAGTTATTGTGTTTCATCTGCCTTTGGGAAAGATAAGATTTTTCTACAAAAATGTCTGTTATTATGATGTTACAATAATAAGTAAGATCATAGACTGTTCATGGAGTGCTATTAAAAGGCAACTTCAAATGATTGGGCTATTTCTCTATGGTGCACAGGACCCTCCTGAAGACTCTTGAGAAAGTGCAAATATAACTACTACAATTGCCTACTTAAACTTTTTTAAAGAGACATTTAAGTTTTATCAACTTGTAAGCAAAGGGTTTTATAATTATATAAACATTAAGAAATATGCAAACAATCATTTTAGATATAGATTTACCATTTTAAGTTAAATATAACCACTTTAGCTTAGTGAAAAATAAGTGCTATAGAAAGGGGCAGTTGACCTTGAAACCAAGAAGCTTTTCAGTCTTGAGGTAATCTGATACTAAATAATATCACAGGGATTTAGGTTAATTAGAATTCCCAGCCATGCATGGTGATGCTCAGTGCGAAGATCTCAGGTTTAATACTCAGTACTACAAAAAACACAAAAGAATTTCATACAGAAGTGTGTAGCTACTGGAAATGTACAGTGAAAACTGAGTGTGTATTTGAGGTAATACATCAGTCTTTACTCACTAATATTAATCGTATTTTTCCACAAATTTTAACATGAAGCTTTATATTGTACTTCAAAGGTAGTAAATTTCAGGAACTGCAATAGAAGTTTTGTTATGCTTTAAAGAATTTGTTCATATTCTCAGGAATGGACCTTTGTTGGACCATTCTTCTACTTTAAACACCAAGATAAACAGCTCAGCTTTCATTATCAGAAATTTTACTACTCCGCTCTATTGTGAAATTATAAGAAACTAAAGATGTTCCTATACTTATATGGTTTATTTCTATTTCTCATAAGCATCTTTGGTATAAAATATTTAGAAAGGGCATATACTTTATATAGTACATTTCAGAAAACTATACTTATTTCTGCATTTTAGTAATAACCTAGGGTTTTTTGTGTGTATGTGTGCATGTGCACATGTGTGTAAATTTAGGACAGTGTCTACAGGGTGTAATGGGTCTTACTATGTAGATCACGCTCATAGTGATTCTCCTGTTTTTAGCTTCTCAAGCGCAGGGATTACAGGCACATGCCACCACGCCCAGTCTCAATGTCTGTCTCAGTGTGCCCCGTGGGTGGGGGCGGGACCAGGGCCAGGGCCTGCACAGCACACTGAGGATTGAACCCCAGCCACTGTGCTCTGCCAAAGCAGGTGCTTTAGTTCACTCAGCTATCTGGCTGGCCCCTAATAGCCTAGTTTTATGTGAGTACTTTATGGCCATATTTCAGGTGAATTTTTAAAGTATATTTCAAGTAGATAATTAAAAATTTAAACACTACAGAATTATGCTACATTTATTGTCAATTCTGTATCTTCAAGATTTGACCAGTTCATCAAGTTCGTCAGGTCCTAGAATTTCTGGTTCACCATGTCATCACAGTGATTCTAATTCATCTTCAGAGAAACATGTGTCAAGAGCCTCTCAAAGAGAAGGTAGGTTGGGGCCGGGGAGATGGCTCAGTAGAATAAG